GGTCTCCCTGTAGCCCCAGCTGGCCTGGAACTCACTATGTAGACCAGGCTGGCCTTGAACTCACAGAGGTCTGCCTGCCTCTGCCTCTGCCTCCCGAGTGCTGGGATTAAAGATGTGCCCCATGCCTGGCTTTACTCGGTCACTTTTATAAGCTCACAGCTCATCAGTCTATTCCTTTCTGAGCTGCAATGTTTGAATTAGGTTAAATTTCTCTCCCTGGGTTTCAGGCAAGTCAGAACTATTTCTGCCTATTTTAAGGCCAGAACATTCCATTTAATAGTCTGCTGGGAGTATATAGCTGACCTCTAGGGGGTGCTTGTGGTAAGTCTACTGTGCAAGGGCCTCTTTTCTCATTTTGTAGAGGTGTTTGGGACACTCGGTCTTGGTGACTAACCCAGAGTCAGGCTGGAGCCCAGGGCTGTCTGCAACCCGACAACAGATGGCACTGAAGGAAACGATTGCCCTGAGGCAGATCTGTGCCCCACACTGTAGCTGGAGCCAATCCTTGCTTCACTGAGTTACTCTGTCATCTTTCCTGACCAGGTCTCTCCAGCTCCCTGCCAGTTCTCTTAGTTAATATGACTGTGTCTCCCCTTTCCAAAAAAGAGATCTAAGGCGCCTTCCCGGTGTCTCCCTCCTCCTACCATTCATCCTTTCCCATTTTTATTTTTATTCCGTGTGTGGCGTATTCACTGTGTGAGTGCCATGGCATGTGTGCAGTCAGAGGACAACCTCGGGTGTTGGTCCTGCTCTCCACTTTGTTTGAGACGGGGCCTTTTGTTTGTGAGGTGTACACCCGGCTAGCTCACCTGCAAACTTCTGAGAATTCTTCTGTTCCCACCTCCCATCTCATGGTGGACTCTGGAATTGCCATCATGTTCTATGGTAGCTTTATGTGGAATCTGGGAGTTTGAACACGGTTCTCACGTGTTTTACCCCGGAGCTCTCTCAGTCCTATCTTTTCTCTCTGCTCTGTAATAAGGGTTCCTGAGCTAATGGAAGGCTCCCCCTCCTCCCTGGCTGCTGCTCCCCCAGGTCTCCCCTCACACTCAGGAAGGAATCGCACAGTCCAGCTCCAACACTAACCATGAGGGGGTGTCCTAGACAAAATGGCATCTCAGCCCGGGAGCCCCTCAGCCTGGCCCCCGCCCTCACTTCCTGCCCAACTCCGCACCGTGACTTTCCCTCTCTAACCCCTGGCTCCACCCCTGGGCAGCTCACGGGCTCTGTCCATAGCTGCATCTCACGTCTCTGTCCTCGGGGTCTGAGCTGTGCTAACGCTGTCCAGCCTCCCTGGATGACGTCACCGCCCCCTCCCCAGCTGCAGAGTTCTACGTCCCAGGGCACAGGCAGGCCTAAGTTCCTGACGTTCCCCTTCGACGGTTCGGCCTCCCGGCGAGTCCCCTTCCAGCCTCCGCGTTCTGCCACGCCGGCTCCCGGCCTCACCTATGAGCGACTGGGAGAGGCGCTGGTTCAGCTCGTGGTTGTGTCTGCAGACCGTGTCCAGCTCGGCGCGCTTCTGCTCCAGGGCCTCCTTCCGGCTGTTCCAGTAGTCGGCTGTGGGCCGCCCCAGCTCGGTCACCGCGCGGAACTCGCCCACGTCGCTGTCGAAGCGCACGTACTCCTCTTGGTTGTAGATGTATCTGTCCACGTAGCGGTGCCTTCCGTGGGTGAGGTGGCATTCCTGCCACTCTCGGAACAGGTAGTTCTCTGCGGGGAGCAGGGACAGCGCTGAGCCCGGGACCCCAGGACCCGCACCCCACCCCCGGGGTCGGTCTCGGAGCTCATCCCAGTCCCTCCCCGCTCGCGCTCAGCTGGGGGTCTCCAGACACAGACCCTGGTTCTAGGCCTGGGTTTGAAGTGTGTGTGTGAGGGGGGCACAGAGTTCCATGACATGATGCGACTCCCTGCTGAGGGCGACTGGGACCGAGGAGGGGGCAGAGAACCCAGGAGCGGCCTGAGGGAGTCGCAGAATCTCACTAGAGCCAAGTCTCTCTTGAGGAGAAACTGCAGGGATCGGGGTTGGGAAAGGGTGTGTGTGTGGAGG